TGGCCCTGCAGCTGACAGGGCTGACACTGGCCGCTGTGACACACCTGCGTGCACGTGTGCTCGGCACAGTTGAGTAAAGCGCCACACACTTTGCCACACTGCAGAAGTGACAACTGACCGCAGCGCATGGGCTGACTGAGAGGAGAGGAACGACAGGAAGAACGTTGAGGAAAACAAGAACGTGTGACTTCAATCATACACAGACACACAGGAACATAAATACCTGGTTTTACCACAAACGCAGGATTTCGTCACAAAGGCAGGACACGATGGACAAGGCCCAGGGTGACACAAGCTGAAAAACATAGTAAAAACATATTAAAACACACGTGTTTTTTTTTAGAAAAGTATTAAAAAATAACTTAAATAAACAGCTCACATGTTACAGGGATGATTACAGTCCACTCCACTTCTTTTCTTTCCACACATGTCACCACAGCTGTGAGGAATCTCAGTGCGCTGCCACTCGGGGTTCGTTACTTTACCTGTGAACGTAAAGGGAAAAAACATCATCAACTAAAGGTTAATGTTTTAACCTAGAAAAACTATTCATCTGCACAGTAGTGTAATTTTTTTTATTTTTGGTCACACTTTATTTGTGTTCTTTAACAAAGTCTTCATGGTTTAATCGTGTTTTATTCCAGCTGTGCAGTACAGTGTATAGTGTGCATGGCGCCCTCTTGTGGCTGTAATTGACATAGGGTACACATTCGAATATTAGTTGTTTTAAAATTCAAAAGTCGCAGAACCAGTGAAAATGTTCAACCTACAAAAAAAAATTTGTAAAAATGTACTTAACAATAATTACACATTGTGATTCTGATTTCACTCACCACAGAAGCAGGTGTAGGAAGAAGGGTGTTTCAGTGCAACGTTCTGGCAGGCTGGACAGCGCCACCCTTCAGAAGTATCTGGAAAAAAGAAGTTAGAAGTTTAAAAAAAAAAAAAAAACCCAAACAGTTTGTAATATGCTGTAATCATCAAACAGAGGATCCTGGAGTACAATGATGTTTTTGTTGCGGAGCTCACAATAGCCACCTTTGTTGTTCTGAAAACTGTCCACACAGGCATCACTGTGGTTGTACTGATGGACTGGACTGGTCAACACTGAACAAAGCCTCGGTCCACACAGTACACACATGGGGTCACAGTAACGTCGGCAGACGACAGAAGCCTACCGACATGGGGTCACAGTAACGTCGGCAGACCTACCATCTGCCTGAGAGGCTGGAGATCGAGCCCATTTCTTGATGCAGTTCAGGTGGAAGACGTGGAAGCAGCTCTGGCAGCTCCAAACTGGAGCCATGAGTCGGATGATGTCGCAGCAGACCATGCACTCGTATTTCTCTCCAGACAGCTGTTCTATCAAACACCCTACGGAAGACAGCGACAGGTTAAGACTGTGGTACTAACAACTACTGGATTCACAGCTAAAGCTGCGAAAATAACCCTGAACTTTATTTAAAATGCTAATGATTTCTACACAAGGAAATACAATTTCCAATCAGTGCAGTTGCCCCACCGTGGGATAAACATAGAACATATTAAAAAAAATTGGATTAATTTTTCTCCTGCTATGGCACCAAGCAATAAATCCATGCCCCCTAGGGGGCCATGTCCCCCGCTTTGGGAACCACTGATCTAGATGATCAAAATTAACTGTAATTGTGTGACTCAAGAAAAGCCATTTCTCACACTAACCTGTCTGCGTCTCCTTGCTCTCTGGCATCTTGTCCAGAGTCCTTAAGCCAGGCCTTTGGTTTTGATGGTGGTTCCGTCTTGCCGCTCTGGCCTGAGGTTGACCAAATCTTCCGGACCCTCCCTCAGTTTTTTTTGCTACATTTTTCAACGATCTTCCATGTTCGGAGTTAGCTCCGCCCTCAGAGCTCAGCTCCTCTGGAGATGGAGGCTTCGGGGGTTTGATTGGACCCTGTCTCCTCTTCTGCTCTGAGGGTTTCCTCTGATGATCACGATACTGGGATTCTGGACCCTCTCTGCTCCTTTGAGGTCCTTCTGTCATCAGCGAAGCATGGTTTTCACTGACATCATCGGACCTCTGATACTCCCCTGCCGCGTTGCCTCTCTTGTTATGTTCTCCTCTCCTCTGCTCCTGGATAAACCTCCTGGGTTTCTTGGACCATGCATCCTGCTCTTTTCCCCTTTGTTCAGAATTTCTGCCAGCATCACTTCTCCTCCAGTTCGGCCTGTCAGGTCCATCTATAGGGGGAGCCTCTCGGCTGTTGTCACTCTGTGAGTCGGTACCAGGTCTACCGGGCCTCCTCCAGGAGCTGAAGGTTCCATTTTCGTCTTTATTCCCTTCCCTCCTCCCTCGACCTCGCCCTCTACCTTTGGCTCCGTCCTCTCGTTGGTAAGCATGCTGCTGATGCTCTACGTTATTTGAGTTGTTGTAACTCAACTGGGGATTGGATCCCGGCTGGAAGTTGGCAAATTGTTGAGAAGGATCACAGAAGTCGCTACTAAAGTTCCGGTCATTGTTGTACCGGGGTCGTCCTCTCCTGAACCTCGGCTGATGAGATCTACTATTTGAAATGCCATCCGGAATAAGGTCAGGTGGGTCTGCAAACAGGAAAAAATAAAAAAGTGATTTTGTATATTTCTAAATTTAAAAATGTTGTAAATTTATATTGTATAAAAACAAATTTATGACTCATTTATTACTGCAAAACAATAAATATGAAGCTGGACACTCGAGAGGACGTACTAACTGCGCTTACAGCACCACCTGCTGGGGAGGTATTGGATTTTTAAAACAAAATTCAGAATAATAGTGTGTTATGTATCGAAAATATACGTATGTCATTATGAGTGGTTTGAAAGTTTACAATACTAAGCATTACAGGAAGTTACATTCTTCAGATATTCAGCGTTGTCTTCTAACACAACTTAATTTTAAACATTCGAACAACAATCACGATACAAACTCACTTACTCCATATATTGTTGAACGCATAGCTTTCAAATTTTCAATTTCACTTTTTACCATCATAAACTGCTGTCACTAGAATACTTATTTATTTAGCTCAGACTTATTTACATCATAAATCTCAGGTTAGCAGTAGTTAGCATAAAGTTCACGGCAGCTAACATTTGCTGAAGTGCTGTAAATATGAACAGTGACCTAAAAAACTCACTTTAAGAATTTTAACGTGTTACTTTATATGTTAAATTATCTAGTATTCCCGGGGTATAAATATTTAGGTGGATGGAACATGTGAGCGTTACCTGAGGAGCCTTCAGCCATTCACTTTCTTTGCCTGTTGATGTTTCTCCTGCGCCACACGTTTAAAGACAAAAAAAAAAGAAACCTAGAGAGAAATGTCAAGTGTTTCCGGACACTCGGTGACAAACTCAAACTTCTCAGCTCTTCTGTGTTTAATAACTGAGACACTTACTCTCTTAAAAGCAACAAAAACACTTTCAACAATCATATATATATGTCTTGTAATGGCTAGCTAGAGGCTAACCCTCAACGTCAAGGTTGCGTGAAACAAATCAGATTGCACCCTGTTGTGCCTTTCAAAATAAAACAAGTTTCATCATTTGTATTAATATGTCCACATCCTGTCGGCAATTCAGCCCGAAATCCTCCGGAATCTAAATTAATATCACCAAGCAATTGTAAACTGACTTAAAATAGCAACAATAAAAATAGAGTAAACAGTTATCGACATACATTGTCGACACAAAGCAAGACGTATTAAAATGAATAAAAGAAAAACAATTCCACTGCATGATCGCAAGATGGGGCACTAGTGTTGTGGATTCACACCATACATAGTCCAAGTCAAATAATGAACAATCTTAGGTGTTAGACACACTAAAATAAATAATTAAAATATAATCTGTACTGTATACCTTAAATGTTTTGTGTTTACGAGTACAAATGGTTTATTGCGAATACTTTTTTAAGTAGATTTCACAAAATTCTAGAGAATTTTGTAGAATAAGAGGTGGCTTGTAAAGCAGCATTTTGCGCCCCCGTGCGGTCTTGACACAGACGTCATCTAAGTGGATGCAGCAGTGTACTGTTCGCCTTTGCAGCTCCAGTTCACGCGAGAAGTCAGCTTATTCAGACTTCAAAATAAAAGCACGTTACGTTCAAACAAACAAATTATAAATATTGAAAGGAAAAGTAAATAGCTACCACACAAATCAATTTACAAAAAGAAAAACGGTAACATTTGGGAAAGGAAAGCCTAAACATGGGTACATAAAACTCTATCCTGAATGTAGCATAATAGCAATGGTGTGACGCATTTGGGAAAGGAAAGCCTAAACATGGTTACATAAAACTCTATCCTGAATGTAGTTCTAAATGAGTTCTAAATGAGCTAAAGGATACGCGAAAGTAACGCTGTAATATTAAGGTAAATAAATAGAATTGCAAACAAAACTTTGTGCTTGAGCAAAGAGATGGTTTTAAGTATGCTATTTAGCACAATGGCTAAATTACATTAGCATAAAGGCGTAAAAATTAAAAGACGACTGAAAATAGCATTGCAATATAAAGATTAGCCAAGAATACTGCGATAATATTCCACTTAGCAAGAAACTATAGAAAACGAAACAAGATAATACGAGATTTTCATATAAAATCCTCTTTGTATCCTTACCCTGCAAGTTTATGTTCACAACCACCTTCACTCACATCTCGTGAATTATTGTCTTTCCTGCACCAAAGTCCACAGGACGAATAAACCGCTGTGGGTCAATGTGTGTACAGTAGATGTTTACTGATTTACTGCTTCATTGGAAAGGTTTATGTCACTTATCAATAACAAAGTAAACGATAACATAAAGTAACATCATAGTCATCAGTTAATCAGAACCTCGTGTGTGACCTAACGCAGGAAACGCTGATTTTGTCTACGGACATTTTCTGCAGTGTGCGTTTAACTTAACCTCCTCCAGAAGAGTCCAGAAAAATTCCCAATTAAATAAATCCAAAGTGATTTAAAAGCCACCAGACTGGGAAACATGAGCATGTGGAATTTCTGAACGTCTTAAACTGCACACTGCAGTTAGTGTCGCAGTCGATCAGAAACCAAGGACAACTCTGTAAACTTGTAACATGCTTGAAGTGCAGAAACATTAGGAGGCCCCTGGTGAAAAACAGACCTGGGGGTCTTACTTTGACCCCCCCAGAGAGCCATTTATTTCCCTTTCCTGACAGCGAGTGATTGAGCAAGGATTAGTTTTGTGATCAAAGAGTTGTTGGTTCAGAACCCCTCACCCCTTCTATGTAGAAACTCTTGCTGCTTACTGCGTTATTACGCTCACTTGTTTCACATAAATCATGACTAAATTATGACGAGTTTACGTGACAGCCTGCTCACAGTGAGCTAAATATAAATTCATAACATGCCCACAAGGGTTTTTGTGTTTTGTTTTGTTTTTAAACATGACTTGTTAACGCTCCCGCAGAAGTGAAGGTTAAAGTCGCAGCTTCTTTTCTGTAAATTGTTGTTTTCTGTTTCAGGGCCGCAGCCAAACATCCTTCTGCAGTCACACTCTACTTCACGCATGCGCGGTATGCAGCCTGACTCCTCGTCCCCGTCAACCAGAGAAGTGGGTGGGAGCTGTTACCGTCAAGACGCAATGGCTAACAAAGGAAACACAAACGCTTATTAACAAAATAAAAGCATAATGCCGCGTTAATGTTGCTGCTCGTACGTTATCGCTGTGTACATGGGTTATTGTATGGTTATTTTCAGGCTTCCTCCTGGCTTGTAATTTCAATCATTCAGAATTCTTGAAATGGAAAGTTACCTCGAGGATGTTGAGTAGAGACATTAAAAAAAACACAGGGATAAAAATTAACAAAACAATTAACATTGCAATCCAGTCCATAGAAAAATTTGGAGATAAAAACAAAATAAAATAAAAAAAATACAAAACTATGGCATGCAGAAAAGAATGAAAAAGGAAAACGTATTAACTGTAAAAATATTAAATATGCTTAAACAAATACACCGAAATGATTTTCTTACATTTTTTTACTTTTTAAATTAATTTGGATGAAGTTAAGTCTGTCTAGAAAAAACAATTCAAACAAATCCACCTTCGTATATAATCCTGTTTTATTGTGAAAATATTATTCCGGAAGCCGTCGGCAACCTTCTCCGTTACTTTGACCGTAGCGGTGAGAAGCCTGTGCGCGGCCGTGCAAGGGAGAGTGGCGGAGAGAGTGTATGTCTGCGGCAGCCGATTACCGTTAAAAACACAAACTACGGACGGAGTGGAGAGGAAAAAAATCCCCGCTACGGCTCGACGAGACCTCGGCAGAGCGTGGATGATGCTTAATGGTCAAGAGAGGCCGGAATCGGAGCGCTGTTTGACGCCAGGCGGCTTATTGAACATCTGTAGAGCATAATGAGGGCATCCGCTATCCCTTCGGCTGCTTTTTCCTCCCAGCTTTAGTGACAGTGTTTATAAATGCGTGGCTTTTAGGCATCCTGTCAGAGAATAGACCCAGCCTGCGGATATTCAACCATTCCCTCCTTCCATGGCCCCCGGGGAGCAGTGAAGTCATCCGAGAAGAGGACACGTCTTTAATCAGCTCCATAGTTTCTGCACATAGTTTTTTTTCCTCTTTTTTTTTTTTTTTTTTTTTAGCGAGGAAAACCCGACTCTTCCCTCTCGCTTCTCTCCCTCTGCACCAGACTCCCTGCGCTTTCCAGCTATTTTTAAATCTTTCATGGTTTTGTTTTTCTGAGCTTTTTGTCGCCGAGGCTGCTGTGGGCATTTTCCCCGTTAAATGATGCCGGATCAAATATCGGTGTCCGAGTTTCTCTCGGAGACAACGGAGGATTACAATTCCCCGACGACATCCAGCTTCACCACCCGACTGCAGAGCTGCAGGAACACGGTGAATGTGCTGGAGGAGGTAAGGCCACGGTGTCAGCCTGGAGCTGATGGATGGATGGATGGATGGAGGGATGGATGGATGGATGAGGTTGATGGATGAAGATGAACCATGAATAATACATAAGATCGGCCGATACTCGGTTTTATCGCACATCGCGATTATCAATAAGTGGATTATATCGAATTCACACCGTGATCTTGACAACCTGCTGTAACCAATGATTGTTCAGGATATTCAGATGTGTCTTTTATAAACCGTAAATATCACAAATCAAAAACCAGTCATGTTGCAAATCCAGCTGTCATTGATTTAGCTTCTCCTTGTTGCCTTGACTACACTTAAGTAAATGTATAGCATTCAACCTTTTTTTTTTTTTTGCGAACATCCAGTTCTTTTGACTTTTTTTTTTCCAGTTCCATTCACGTCGGATGTTACGGCTTTAACGCTGGTTTAAATTTGATTTAAAAGTTAAAGCTACTCATCTGGTTTTAAATGAACTGCGTCTGCATTTTTATTTTATTTTTTCAGATTTGGTTCATTCATTGAAGTGAGTGCAGATCTGCATTAGTGATGTTCACTGTCAGCTGTTGACAACATTCACACATTTATTTACAACACACTGCCAGGACCAAACAAGGACAAAACTGTATTAAAAATGTATTAGTTGACCAATTGAGTAGTCATAGCAACCGTTGCATGCTACCATACGCTCATAGTAACAGTAGCATTTACCATAGTTATGAACAAAGATGGACACGGTGTTGAGAGCCATTATTAAAATAACATTTTTACAGTTGTTATTGTTTTCTTGGGTTAATTTGGTCATAAATGGAAGTGAAGTCTGAATAAATTAACTCATTACTTTTGGTACTAATCCAGTGTTGAACAAAAACTTCTACAAAGGCTGATTTACATCAGAATAGTCGATTATTGAAGGAGCGGAATTGTACCCACTGCACTGTTGAGTATTTCTTATTGTGAGTACAATAACAAAAACGAACCGGAGCGAGGGTTCACGGAAGTGTTTTCAGAATTCTTCTTTTTTTGCCATTTGTAGAGAAGTTATAATGGAACAGGGTTGGGAGGAGGGGTGAGAGGGGGGAGGCCTGGGGGGGAGGATGAAGATGACTTGCTGCAAAGAAAGAGTGCAGGGAATAGAAGGCTGTTCACTCAGGCCTGCAGCTCCGTGTGTTCACGATTACATAAGAGGGTTTCAGAGCTCGCCGCCAGCCTGGATCTCCATAAGAGTGTGTGTTCTTGAGAGAGTGAGAGTGTGTGTTAATGTGAGAGAGAGAGAGAGGGAGAGAGAGGGAGAGAAAACCTGCCATTCAGCTGCTGCCATTCACAGCTGGATGTAACTATTTCAGAATCACAGAGATTCTCTGCTGGCAAACAGGCCAGATGAGACGTTTCTCATCCTCAGAATTGCGAAACACTGTGGAGGAACACACCCAAGGTCTCTCTATCCTCGCTCCTTCTCTCTCTCTCTGTGATGTCACGTCACCTTTGATCATGTAGAAGAAGTCTAATCCGAGGCAGCAGGTGGGCTGCTGCGATGTGCTTAAATATGGGTGTGTTTCTCTCGCTCTCTCTCTCCTCCTCGGACTCGGCTGGTGTCCGTCCGGCTGCAATTGAATATAAAAATCAAACCGATGGTTGTGGGAGAGAGCGCATCATCGCTTATGTCCACAAATGCCAAAACATGAGCTAATTTCCTATCTTAAAACCGCGTTTAGCAGCACAGCAGTGACATCAGTCTCACTGTTAAGTGTATCCTGTCACGTAAAACCGAATGATTTCATTCACGCTCCTCAGATAGGGACCAACTTAGGGCTCGGTTCTACAGTAATATCACCGTGACAGTAACCAGAGATGATTTGTTCAACGCAATAGTTCAGTTCAATACTGGGAACAAGCGGGAGACATGGACGGTTGCCTGCAGTCATAACATGGCGGCCTGTGGGGACGCAGGAATGTCCATCCAATAAGGTCTTCACTAATCTATCGCACTGTAAAGAAACTAGAAGTTTGTGTCACTGTATACGCTAGTCAGTGGCTTTAAAAACAGAGGAAAAAACAGTGAACGTTAGCTCCAAAAAGCTCTGCGTTATTCCAGTGCGTTAGCCAGATTCTTACCTTATCTTATCAGTCCTAGAGTCTCTGTGAAACAGAACTCAAAGACGGACTTATTTGGTGTTAAAGGATGGATTCAGTAGCAGTCATCTCCATCAACGCCGGTTATTGATAAACTGAGGTCCGTCCAGTGGGATGACAAACTTCAGGCTGTTTATAAAGAAGTGTTCGGTAACAGGTGGACTGTTATTATACCGCTGTCCCAATTCTGATCGGTAACAGGTGGACTGTTATTATACCTCTGTCCCAATTCTGAGACCCAGACGGGCCACCAAAGGTTATCGTACATGGAAACCCAGAGGTTTCCAGAGGTCCTTAAAGGACTTCTACCTTAAAGGACCTCTAGTCCTTTAAGGTAGAAGTAAATTGAACTTGGAGTTTTGTCTCGAAAGACCTGGTGGCAACAGTGGGTGGGCACAAAGAGGGTCAGGGTTTGACTTTTACAACTTTGTGCTGATGTTGGTTGAGAAATTAATTAATTTAAGAGTCTTAAACCAATCTAATTTCAGGACATTTCAGCAGTCCACACAACTGGACTTCCTTAAAACCCGACCAACTGCTCAAATCCGATGTGGACCGTTAAGCAGTGATGGGTTCCTTACATTGGAAACAAAAGTTCAGCTCTTATTTCTCCACACCAACAGCTTGATAGCGGAGAGTTTGTGCCGTCCATCACTTGAAGCTTCACTGCGTCAGGACTTTATTGTATTGTAGCAATAGAAAATGTACTTAAACAGAGCCAGGCCTCTTGTTTACTCGGAGCCCCCAGCACCCTCTCTGTGCGTCTGCTGACTGTAACAAGAAGAAGGCCGCTCGCATCGTGAATCACCTCTCTGGCTCTGACTGCAGCGGCAGCGCAAACGAAAAACATCTGTTCTAGGGCCGCTGCCGACGCCATGTGCGCTGGGCTTCAAGTAGCCGCTCAGGAGATTTTTTTTTTCTTTCCCCTTTACAGCGATCAGAAGACAAGGAAGTGTGGTAAACTGGTACCAAAGACTGAGCAATGTGCAAAAGTTGTCCAGGAGAGTCAGGACAGTCAGTCGGTGGTCTTGTGGATCTGGTCATGTAGCAGCCTATCTAACCCGAGCCCTATATGGACTGGACCGGGTCCAAATTTAATTCGGACCAGTTTTTGAAGCTCCTTATCTGGTCGTAATCCCGTTGGGACTTTCCCAACACAGATAATGTGTCCTGGGTCTGATTGGGCCCAGGTCTTGAGGCTGCTTTATCCCTTCCAGAGTCAGTGGGATCCCATTCTTGAGAAAAATATTCCAGTCAGGATCTGATTTTGATCTGACTTCCCTTTCAGGCAACTCTGCCTTAGATCTGTTTTAGATTGTCTGCAGTTTCGAGGGCTGTAACAGGTTGTGTCTGGACAGATACGGTTTGGAACCCAGGATCCACATCCATCAGGAAACCTCCTCCATGTGGATTTTGATCCAGATCTATTTTAGTTTGAGATCATGATTCACGTCGGAGGTGAATCCAAATTACCGTTTGTTGAAGGTCACGGAAAATCTTTATTATATTTATGAATGAATATGAAACAGACATAGATCACAAGGACTATATCACGGCCAGCTACACATCATTTTAACCCATTTTTTATGAAATATTTACGTCATCCTGCAGCCAGTCTGGAGCATTAAACGTCCAATTGCCAGTTGTCATTTTGAGTTTGTTTGAATTGCCCTGGATTTGTGCTGAGCCCTCACACTGAAAGCATTCACCCCCACCCCCCATCTGTTGGCCTGAGTCATTTCCTTGGGATGTTGACGAGGTAAATTATGCAAAGGTATGGTGTGAATAATTAATGCTGTAACCCGATGGGGGAGAGTTGACTCCACGGGGGAGGTGTCATTCTCTGCTGCTTCCACACAATCATCTGGAGGCAAAAAAACAAAGACAACAACATATTGTCTTAATTCCGTGCCACCCATCTGAGGAATCAAGAAGGAATTGTGACTCAGCGCCTCGGAGGTTTTTGTGCCTCGGAGGTGGCTAGGGAGTTATTTTCTGTTGGTGCTCGGATCAGTGCAGAAATATGGAGAACAATGAGCAGCGAGATGCAAAGATAAAAGTCCTAAAAATAACCTTTCAGGCTCTCTGGTCTGATTACTCCAGACACTGCAGACGGGGGGCATTGTGTGCTGTTGGTGAGTGGGTGGCAGAGCGGACGCTCGCTGATGTGTCTGAGTTTTATTTTGGTGACGTCTCTGGTCTAAAGTCGTCATCGTCCCAGCGTGTTTTTTCCCCCCTGCAAGAAAGCTACAGGGTATTTTGTTTTGTTTTTGTTAAAGTAGTTGGCAGAAGTGACGTCTGATGGTTTTGTTTAGATGGAAAAGATTAGCATACAATATAGAATCTAATTCAGTAGTTCCTGAAGCCTTGGAACCAAGTCTGTGCTGCAACCAGTTGCCTAAATGTTTGACGGTGAACACGCCTGAGGCTCGGTGCCAGCGTTGCCTTTGGACGTTGGTGGAGCAGTGTCTGTAATGACAGTCTTTGTAGCTTGAGTTGCTGATGCTGCTGAAGGCTTGTCGACGTGGTGCACTCTGTTGTTGTGTGCACTTCAATTCAACGGTGTTTGTTTCCTGGACCGTGTTTCCTCTAAAGACCAAAGACAGAGGAAACACAGTGACTCAGCAGGCTGTAAAACCTCTGGGCAAACTGTGTGTCGTTTTAGCTCAGCGACTGAAAAAACAGCCAGTCACAAGCGATAACACCTTCCGCCCTGCTTAGATTTTCCCTGATAAGAGTTATTATTAACAGCCGGCGTTTGTTATTTCCCGTGGGGCATCTGTTGTCGTTGCCTATCAACCCTACAGATGGTACTTTGCGTCACCAGGGTCTGCTTTCCTGAACGACACGGAACCACAGCAGCG